TGTTCCAAAAAAAATTATCTTATAATTCTGTAGCAGAACTGAGTCCAACGAAAGTCGACGAGTTTTCTTGTAAAATCGATATCTTATTTTTTTTTGCATAAAAGATTCAGTTGCCAGTAATTTACAGTAAAACGTTGGGAAAAAAGCGGTTTTTCTGTTTAGAGGCAGAGTTGTTTAGAAATATTGCCCTAAAAGTGAAGGAACCTCAGTTTTTAACCTCATATTTTACGTAAAGCTAAAAAATAATGCGATTTTTGCGTAGAAACCATTGTTTAATAGAAACGTTGTTTAAACTGGAATTACCTGAAAAATTAAAGGAACTTTACAAATCTTTAGAGCGGTGAGGGCGGCGAATTTCGGAAAAAATTTTTTAACTTTTGCGCTGGTTGTTTTTTCAAGATACTCCTAATTACTTTTGGTAAAAAAGTGAATAAAATTATTTGGTTTGCGTGCCAAATTCGAAGCTGAAATGGGTTTTCCAAAGTTCCGTTCACGGTTAGTTTAGAGGGGTTTAGGGTTGCGCAGCACTGCGCCAACTCTAAAGAGGCACTGAGTTACCCAGGCCCAGTGAGTATGAGGTTGATTAACTAGAATATTTCCTTCGTATGATGATCTGTCACCGTTTGAAGTGTGCAATTATCGAAAAATTTCAGCGGTAATTGGACAGTGTGCAATTATCACTCAACGATAATTGCGTTGTTTACAAAAAATATTTCACAGGTGTCTTTTCATGTTGAATTAGACATAAAATGTTGAATTAGACCTAAGATATTCAAATTATATTTAATAAACATCGTGCATCAAAATAAACAGATAATTTTGCATTCGAGCTTGTTGTCTTGTAAAAAATGCATTCGTTTATTTTCATATGGGAAGGAAAAAGCCCTCCTCCTTCGGAGTCGGGCGTTTTCGCCACAATATGAAAAGAAACTCATGCAGCTTTTAGACAACAAGCTTTCATGCAAAATTATCGGTAATTTTGAAGCACTTGTGCAATTACCCCCGAAAATTTGGCTTAGATTTAAAATTCTCCCATTAAAGTTAAAATTAAGTTTGGTATGTTTTTCGAATCAAAGTTACTGACCTGCATTGCCATGTGGTGGCCATGGCTTGGTCCATGGAAGAAGGGGCTGTAGGGTGAGAAAACCTGCGATTCGTGCAGGCCTGGATTGGGGATCGCCACCGACGTAGGAAGGGAGACTGGTAACATCGGTGGCGGCTGGTGATATGGGGGAGGCCGTGGAGAGGGGCATGTAGGGGCGCTGCCGCCACTTTGATCCATGGAGGCGGGGGACATCCCCATGCCCCCGTCTTGTCCCAGGATTCGGCTCACGGTGCGTGGCGTGATCCGGGTGTCCGTCACCTTGAAGGGCAGAAAATCCTGAATTATTTATTAAAACTGTTTTCACTGGGGCCCTTTTCAATATGCACGTTCGCTTTAAGGTTGGCGGCAATTCTGTGACGCTGAAGCCTTGAGTACCGCCAACCTCAAAGCGGGTGCTCAGAAGAAGCAAAGACTCTTACCTTATGGCGTTTCTTCTTCGGTGCCACCACCAAGCTAAGCGCCTCGTTCTGTTCGGGAGTATCCTGTTTCTGTACACAAAACGGATGGTTCATGCCATAAAGAGGCGCCTGACTAATGCCGTGGGGCGGCTTTGGGGGCTGAAACATTGGAGGTCGAATATGATGATCTGACGATTTGGGCATCGAACTGTGCATACTATGAACGGGCATTAAATGGGGGCCCGCATTTCCATTTACCATGTGATTTTGGTTGGGGGGCGGCGGCGCTTGCGACCGCTCCGCCACTTTCGTCCGCGGCGATTTCCTGTCCAGCAGCTGGGACGCCATCAGCAGGTCTTTGTTGAGCTGCTCGGCCGCGTTGGCCGCGTCCTGCTGCTTGCACCGTTTCTGGTGCACGAACCTCGAGAGGATCGAGTCGATTAAGTTGGATAGCGAGGCGGAGATTTCCGTTTTGAGCACATCGGCCAGCCCTTCGAGGTCGCTCCCTGTGGGCGTCGTAATGTTTCGCATCAGCTGCAGCCGTTCGGAGACATGCTCCGACTTGGGCGTGCTCTGCTGCATGGGCTGCGGCTGTTGCGCCTGCTGCTGCACCTCGTTGCTCATCGCCGCAGCGGCCGCCTCTTTGGCCATCCGGGCTTCCTGCTCCATCAGCAGCTTGTGGCCCAAGTACATGGCGGCTGCGTTGTTCATGTGATGGGGCGCGTGCAGCAGGCCGTTGTGGAACGGCCCGTGGGGGCCTGGCGGTCCCAGCTTCATCTTGCTTACCTCTTGCACTAGAGAGGGTGTCACTTGAGTGGGGGTTGGAGGGGACGTGGTGGTCACAGGGGAGGCCGCAGGCGATCGCTTGGGGCTGTGCTCACTGTCACTGGGGATCTCCTCGATCTCCTGGCTCTCCTCCGAGCCTTGCTCCACTCTGGTGCACAACTGCATGTACTTCTGCTGCATCTCAGCCAGCTGCTCCTGCATGGTTCTCAGCTGCGACTTGAGCAGGTTTTTCTCCACCCGCTTTTGCTTGATGGGTTCGGTTTCCTCCTCCTCGTCGTCGATATATCGGTCGGCGTTGCTGTCGTGCTGTTGCGGTTGGTAGAGTTTTCGCTTCTTGCAGCCGTTCACCTGCGGGGGGGCCGGACTGGACCTCATGCCCGACACGATGTTCTCCACTCGCGCCTTCTTGGCATCCTCCGGCTTCGCCGGACTGGCCGGCTCCACTTTGGGCGAGGGCAGCGAGTTGGTTTCCATTCCATTAATCGCGTCCTCCATCAGCTCGGCTTGCTGCCGATTGTCCACTCCAGCTTCAGCTAGACACTCCTTCATAGCGACAGCGGCGTCCGCAGCTTCATTCCGCTCGGGACTAACCTTTGGATCGTTGTTGTTGTTGTTAATGATGTGGTCCTGGGCGTTGCGCATGTCGTGCTCAAGGGCGAGCAGCTCGTGCTTGCGCCCCTGCAGGATGTCTCGCAGCATGTGATGCGCGAGAGCCTCCCCCGAAGGAGGACTGCCGTCACACCGAATCACCGAGTCCTCACTTTCGCCTCCGCTCTCCGACTTTTGGCGGGCCAGAAGCTCGTTCAGCATTTTTGCGGGTGCAAACCCCGGTCCGAAGAGACCGAACTGTTGGTGTTGGGTGAAAATGGCGCCGTATAAATTTCCACTGCTACCAAGAAAATTCGGACGCGAACTGAAGTTCGGGATCGAAGAGTACGAGTTACGCGGCTCGCCGGCGTCCACGCGTTGTCTGGTTCTTTTAGTTTTCTTCAAGAGCTTATCTGTGTACAAGCCAAACTCTGTCTCCTCCTCCGATGACATCATAGGTTGGGGCGTTATTGGTCGTCCAGGTGCCCCCTCCAGAAAGCCGAGTCCCCACTTTAAGAATACTTGCCCATGTCAATACCTGAAACGGAACAAAAGCGTCTCGTCACGGCTTCTGGCGAAAGGCGAGAGCTCGTTTTTGCGTTTTTCGATCACCTGCCTTTGCCGTCGACACAACTGTTGATGCTGCTCGAGCGCACACATGCGATGCGGCTCGCGCCAGCCCCACAACGTGTCCAAAGCGTCGGCTAATGATCCACGTTTGGACGCATTTTATGCTGGTAAATACCTTCTAATCCCCTTTACTTTTCCCAAAACTACCACTTCTTAATGCACTCGTCTGCCCTGCACAGGAGACCTGCGGATGCGACAGGACGTCGTATCCGCAAAAACAAAGTTTTCAGACATTAACCAATTTGTAAATTATAAATTAAAATCAAATCCTGGGTTCTTCAGTCATTTATTGTCTATTTATCAATTAA